GTCTTTTAAATTATTTTTTTTTGGTGAAAAAAGGGTGGAATGGGTTAACTTGCATAGCCAGTCCTCTTTGAGAGTGAACATAGGAGTTCTTACTTGTGAGGAATGTCCAGCTTGAGTCATAGCTATTGCTTTTAGGACAAGCCCGTGACCGCAGTCCAATGGAGATGCAGGCAAAAAGGTTACCTACCCGCAGGGGCTGGAAGTATGGCTTACTACCTGCATGTGAGTTTGAGCCGATAACCTTTTGTGGGAAAAATAGGGACCCTACCGCTTGGGCTACTATCCTGGTGGTCTTTTAAATTATTATAAGATCTTTGTGCCACTGATGTAGCGTCAGGTCTTGTTCAAGTTGTATGTATTGGAATAGAGCCAGGCTGACCTTTTGCCTTGGTCTAATTTAACTCGATAATTTTTCTAAAAATAAACATAAGTTATCTTCCAATACTAGCCTTTTAAGATTTTGTTTGACTATGTGATAATCTTCCACATTCTTTATTATATGTTTTTGAAGTTTCCTCCTGGATAGTAAATCCTTGAAAATCTTCATCATTGGCAGCTCGATTTTCGGTCGGGAGCAAAAAGGTCACTTGCTGATCCCCCAAGGCATCTTCTTGCACTAAAATCTTGTGATATCAGTTCTACTCGGCCTCATTTGCTCCTAGTTGGTGGGAGGTATGTAGAAGATATTAGCTGGTTGAAAGTTTTCCCTGCAGCAACTTTTCATTACTTAACCTTGAATATGAACCAGTGATGCATTTGCTCGCCTATATGATCGAAGAATGTTGCCGCCGCTGACCTCTTGCCAGAAAAGGACATCTCCACCTCCATGTGTTAACTATTTCTGCCCGATGCATCTTTCAGAACGTGTTAGTTACAATTCATATATTGTCTCTTCCTGCACAAATTTTCTCCTGTCTTTCCCTCTCTCTCTCTAACTTTCTTAAAAAAATTGAGAATTTTTGGGTGTATTTGATATTTTATTTTTTTCTTTATTTTGGGGTTGGAGGGGATAGTATATTTAATCATGATTGGAATTCATGTAAATTTGGATCATCCTCAATTTTGTTTAAAGATGACAGAACTCTATTTGTTCAATTTTTGAAGGAAAATTGAGTCTGTTTTTATATATGCTTCAGTGGGTCAGTGTTAAATCACTCTATTCTATTTAATTACGTGATAAGCCAATTGTGTTCTCAAAAATATTTTCAAGAGCAATCATTGCTAATATTTACTTCAAATGTGGAACTATCTTGAAAGGTGTCTAGAATTGCTGAATGAAATGTGATTAAAGTAGTAGTATACTTTACATTTTTTAAAACAAATAAATTTTATTTAAAAAATAAGAAATTATTCATTTGGATAAAATCCTAATTTCAAAAAAAGCAATTGTGTTTGGTAAAAATTAGCAAAAAATGCATACATTTCTTACAAATATCTACCAGATTACTTTATTGTATACCTTATTTACTAGATATTTCTTACAAATATCTTATGAAGAGAGTAGTTAAGGTACTTACTAGATAATAAAAATAAGAACCTAAAAGTTAGAAATGAGGTGCCTATTTTCTACCTTCATATAATCATTTTTAAGAACCTAGTTGGCACTTTCTTTTCTTTGTTGCCAAACATGAACATTAAAATCATGTGCTTAAAGTTGTTTGTAATTAGCAATGAAGCTCTTAAATGAAATTTCTGTTAGTAATTTTTCTCCTTTTCCTTCCAGGGGAGTTCAGGCTTGCACCTAACTCATGTTACTTTTAGTCCTAATAGTGAAGAAGTGCTGCTTAGTTATGGCGCAGAGCATGCATACCTTATGGATGTTAACCACGGTATGTCTACATCAAAATCTAACAATCTATTTAATTGGGTTAATTAATTACTTGCGAAGAAGGATCAAGGTTTGATAAGCCTGCTTTATATGATTTTTAATTCTGTAATCTCTTTCTAGTAATGAATCCTTCCTAAGTGTTTAAGACATTTAGTTTATAAGCCTGCTTTATATAATTTTTAATTCTGTAATCTCTTTCTATTGTGCAGATGGTACCGGTGCCATGCAATATACTCTTGGAGATGTTTCGAAACTTATGAGTTTCTCTCCTGTACTCAGTGGTGTGGAATGTCAATCACCAGCTTCTAGTGTATATCAAAATGTTCTTCACAGGTCAACTGATGATGTTATGGTGTGCATCTTTTCTTACATTCACATTTCTTGTTTGTACTTCATTTATGTGTGTTGATCATCCACTGAAAAATGGATAGCTAACATGATCCTTACAGCTTGAGAAGTGCAGGGTGTTGGTTGAAATTGCTAAGAGGTCCTTAGAGGAGGGGATAGATTTATTCCATGCAATTGAGGCATGCAACGAAGTCTTGGATGGGCATGGTGGTAACATTGGGTCTGGATTAAGGCATGAATCTCTTTGTACACGTGCTGCCTTATTGCTTAAGGTTTGTTGGGAACTATTTTTTGAAATTTTAGTTGATCTTTTTCGTTTTTTTAACATAAGCACCATTTTCTTTCCCAGAGGAAATGGAAAAATGATGCCCATATGGCTATACGAGACTGCTACAATGCACGGAGAATTGATAGTTCTTCCTTTAGAGCTCATTACTACATGTCTGAAGCATTAGAGCAGGTAATATCTTATTATTACTTGCAGCAGGACTTAGTGATCACATTGACATCCCCATCCAAGGGTTTAAACACTTGGCTTTAATGTCCTCTTGCTGGTTCAGTTGGAACTCATATATAATAACAAATGGCAAACATACTTCTCTGGGAGGAGTAACATTTTATGTAAATATTTTGTATGCTGTTGTCTTTGTATGTAAATAAGGCTGTATTAATTGTGTTTTTTAGGAACACATTTCCTGCTTCTCTGGAACTTCATAGTTAAAGGTTGGATAGCTCAGTTGTAGTTTGTTTTAAGGGATTAATCAACCAGAAAATCGAATCCTAGAGTTATTTCTTTTGTTTATTTTTGCTACTAAGTAATCAAACCTCTGGGTGCATTCACCAGTGAAATTTGACAGTGATAATAAAAATACAACTTCCGGCATTTTAGAAATCTTAACTTATATGAGAAATGGTAACATTGTGCACGACTCTAATATGACAAATACTATTCCAATGCAATTTTACTTTACCCATATGAGCATCCTTCCCTAACTCCTGTCTACCCACTCCCCAACCCGCACAGTTTACTTGTTGTCAGGTCCTGAAAACAGTGTCATACGGAAAATAGACAATTAAAATTTGTTTTTATTTCTCTGCTTTCTGTTTGTACCAGCTCTTAGGATAATGGGATTTAAGGACATAGGCGAAGTTTAAAAGAAATCTCTTACCATTCTCTATCATTCTCTCCTTACTAAACCCTCTCTTCTCCTGTCTCTCTTTTTCCCTGTCTTCTTCTTCATCTTCTCTTTTTCATAATCCTAATATTGATTCATTCAAGCTGTGAATAAGTCAGGCACCTGATACATAATTCCACTTTTGCAGTTTATCGGGACTCTTTCATTTAGTTTTCACTTAACTCATTGATGAGGTCTTGCATGCTTAATGCAATTTTAGCAATATTCTTCGGCTGTAGGCTTTAGCTTAATTAATTATGCACAGCGATACTGCATGAGTAAAGGCAGAGTTGATGATTCTGATGCTGTTCTTTCATTTCTTTCAAGGGTTTTTTTCAGCTTCTCCTTGGTTGTTTTCTGCAGTTGGGCAGAAGTAAAGAAGCTCTAGAGTTTGCAGTTGCAGCACAACTTTTGGCACCTTCCAATTCTGATGCAGCAGAGAAGGTTGCAAGGATAAAAAGCAATCTTGCAGCAGGTTCTTCTCTATTTTCATCTCTGGTCAATACTCATTGTGCATATTGAATTGTCACATTCATGTATTCCCATTTATGGTTGCATTGTTCATATGTGGGCAACATGCTGTCTGGATTCTGTTTTTGGTAATGTATTTATATAGGTATAAATTCTCTGGTTTTAGCAGCAAAGAAATGTACTTAAAATCGCTCGTACTTTGTAGCTTTGGATAAAAATTTCTATTATTTCTTACTGTAGAGCATTGTCAAATGTTTTATGTCTATGAATTATGCATGTGCTTTATGTATATGAATCAAACACAATCAGTTTTTATCAGATTTTGTAGATCTATTGGTTGTCTAATGATTGTAAGGCTAAGCTTGTGACAAAATAAATCAAATGTTATCATCTTATGTGTTTAGCATGCTGAGTTAGTGGAAGTTGGTTGTTGAATAAATTGTAGGACCTCCAATGGGAAAAAAGATGAAAGAATTTGCTGTGGGATATTTGAGTAGTGAGGCTAAATTAGTTGCTTAACAAATGATTCGTTAAGAGTCATCATTTTCTCCTGCCTTAGATATTGAGAGGCTGCTATCTCATATAGCTATAAACCTTACCCACTGAAGCATTAATCATATCTCTTCTCACTCATTTTTTTGGTTATAATACTTCTTCAATCTTGATGAATTGCCTCTTTCATATAGATGCATGCATATTAACTAATTTTCAGTCTTCTTGAGCTCTCTCTCTCTCTCTCCATAAGTCCATTATACAGAAAGCTAAATTGCTTTATGTAGGATCTATTTTGGTGTTCTGTTTGTCTTTTTCTCTTGCCCTCTAATAGTAACTTTAGGGAAATTTTTTCATGGTCTATAAAGAGCTATTGTTTTGCTAAACTATTATCTTTTTATGCATCTGTTTGCATGACTGCAAAATTAGCTGAATCTGAAAAGAGCAATAAGGCAAATGATGGGGCAGCAAGGTTTGAGCATCGAATTGGAACAGTATTATCATTAAGTGATATACTCTTTCAGTCAGAGGCTAATAGCGATGCTTCACATGATGGACTGAGATCCGAAATAGAAGATTCTGATTATGATGAGGAAGTGGAGTTGGATTTTGAACCTTCAGTATCAGGTGATGAAGGGCATGATGTTGAATCCAACATACTGCGTGCCAGCTTAAATCTCCGAATTCACCGAAAGGGTGGCTCAGCTAGAGAATTGGGTGGCACTAATGGCTCATGTGGAACAGTGCCTTCATCATCTCAAAAGAAAATTTCATCTTATCAGGTTATATTCATATCTTTTTAAATAGATGTGCATATCAAGTTCTTATTTCTTTTACCTTTTTTTTGCATGCATTGTCTGGTTGTCTGAATAAATTTTTTTGCGTCTCCCGCTTGTAACTATGGCTATGACCAATGCTCATCTTATAGCATAAGGATAAAAGGCTTGGTTTTCCTTTGTTCGCTTTCAGAGCCTTTGAATACTGGCTCTGCAGATGGAATGATGGTTTACCTTGATATCTAAAATGGCAATACTTTTTAAAGATATGCTTCCGTACCAAAATGGTAGAATAATAATATGGACTCTTAAAGAAGTTTACCACTAGTTCAGTGATGTAGGAAAAATTAGGACTAATTTCCCTACTAAGTTTAGGGTTTGCTTTTTCTTACACTTTTTACACTCAAATATGAAGATCTGTTTGGGCATTTTTTCGTTTTTTGAAATTTTTGGTTGTAGTAACTCTAATACTAATTGATATAGGAAAAATTTGGGTTAATTTGTCTGTATAAAAATTCAGGGTAAATTTAGGAATTCTTAGATATCACATGAGATTTGCACTAGAAAGATAACCAAGAGTCACACCTGGGTTCCTTTAAGCATCACAGTAGAGATGGTGAATTCTTTAACATCAAGCAACCAAGGTATTACTAGAAGTCTCATGATAATTTGTTCCAAAAGACTTGATCTCAAAAGTAAAGTTAGTAAGGTATCTATGGTGTGTTTGCATAAAATCCTAATCTACTACTAAATATAAAATCCTAAAGCTACTAAAGGCGTAATCTTAGCTAGAAATGGATTTTGAAAATCCAGTACAAATTATTTCTCCATCATATGGAATGTAAATTATTTCTCCATTATTTCTCCTTCTGTTTCCTTAAATATTGCACAATTTGTTATATCTTTTCATTTAATTATCTTGCTTTCTCTTCTAGCCTGAGGCAGCTATTGATATGAAGCAAAGATATGTTGGCCATTGTAATGTTGGAACTGATATTAAACAGGCCAGTTTTCTTGGTTGGGGAGGTATCCTTCTGTCTTTTCTTTTTTCTCTTTTTTGTCACATTATATAATACCCTTATCACTGGGGTTATCAAAGCAAGTTAAATCTACGTGTACTTTGAACAAAATGTTATATTTCTTGGATTATGTTGCTGACCTTATCAGATACAATTAATTCTTTACCTCTTTGATGAGTGAAGAATAGTGAAGTATGATACTAATAAAAGTAATACTTTGTTCAATATGCTCCATGTTCATTTTGCATACATGCATCTTCCCTTTCTTGCATTTTAGATTTATTTCTGCTGGTGATGCAATGTTACATGTCATCCATCTTGTAGCATGTTAGACTTATCTGTTGGGGATGCAATTTAACATGACATTCCGCTTTGCCATAATCCTAAGACCACTGTAACAATTTGTTCTAATTGCTTTCCAGGTGAATATGTTGCCAGTGGGAGTGATGATGGTAGGTGGTTTATATGGGAAAAGAAGACTGGTAGGCTGATAAAAATGCTTCTTGGAGATGAAGCTGGTAATGTTTTTGCCTCTGCAAAGCACATTGACATCCTGTTTGCTTTTCTTGATTTTCTTTCTCTTTCCCATTGCAGTTGTCAACTGCGTGCAATGTCATCCATATGACTGTGTTGTGGCAACTAGTGGGATTGATAACACTATAAAGGTGAGTCTAATTGGTTCAGCTTTCGTTGCCATAACTTAGGATCCATTTCTTAATGCCAACTTGTAAATCTTTTTAGATATGGACTCCAAGTGCTCCAGTTCCATCACTTGTTGCTGGTGGAGCAGCTGGACCTGATGCCAATGCATTGGAAGCAATGGAAGCCAATCAACGTAAACTATGCCGTAATCGTGAGGCTATCTTGTAAGGTTTCAATATCCTTTATAAACAAATATGCATTTTGCATATTACAATGTGGAACACTGGTTTACCATGACCCTAAGATTTGGCTTGTCTTTATTGGTCTGTGTTGAGTTTTACCATTGTCAGATATCATTTTTGAATCCAGGCAAATATTTATAGGAGATCCTACGCATATCTTAGCTTTGGGGAGGGGGAGGGAG